ATATAGTGTTAATTAATTTATAAGCTATTATTAGCTAATATAATTAGTGAGCTAAAATAGAGCTAAATTTGCTTATTAATATTAATATTAGTAAGTAGGGATTAGCTAGCTTATTTAAGCTAGCTAATCTCTACTTACTAATACTAATATTAATAAGTAAATTTAACTTTATTTTAGCTTATTAATCATATTAATTAATAATAGCTTATAAATTAATTAATACTATATATTACATTAATTTTTAAAATGTAATATAATATAATAAAATTACACTATATTACATTACATTAAATTTCACTAAAAACTATAAAACTATACTACTTCTAATACTCTGCTAGCTATATTCTCCCTAATATTGGAATCATAGTCCATGATTCATGGACGGCAACAACTATAGGTTCTGCTATTTCGCAGACTTGGCAAGCAGCGTCGCATCGCGATAGAATAATAGGTCTACCAAGTACTGATTCGAAGTATCGGAATAACGTCTCTCGATCGAATGATGAAAAATAGTTTCCCTACATAACGCCAATGGATCATACCATTCCGAGAAGATAACGGCACTGTTATACAACGCCTCTGTCCCACCGCCAACCCCGATACATGATGATAATAACACATCTTAAGCAATGACCCCGGAGTCCTTCACAGTGTCCGCAGCTTCAGTTTGATGTAATTCTGGAGAACCTACACCGGACCGCTTTGACTGTTGCTGTTGCTTCCTCAATTCTTTCTTATCCTTCTCCCACTGACTACTTGCATCACCAAATTCTTCTTTCAATTTCTGCTCCTTAAGTTTCTTCTCCTGCTCTTCGTTCTCACGAGCAATTCGTTCTTGCTCCATCTCCTATTGCGAAAAGTCAGAACTCGTCGACCAGTAGTTGGCCACTGCTCGGGTACTTACCTCCATGTGACGAATGTCGTCTACGCTAGGTTCATAAAGATGCCAAATCACGTAGTGTGGCAACCCTACCACAGAGTACTGCATTCTCTTGGCCATCTACTCAAACTCCGGTCAAAATACGTCGCAGAACAGGTATAGGGTGGGACAAAATACCGACCTTTCCAAAGCCCTCTGTTTCAGCATGCTTTTGAAAGCTGAAAGCCGGGAAGTGGACGCCGGTTCGGAAGACTTTGGCTTTGGCTAGAATGCTGACACCGCCAACGCCGTCGATCTCCATTTCCATATCTGGATCGCCATAAGGGTCACGTAGATATGCCAAGTGAGGTCGCCAGGTGGCGTACTCGGCGTAGCCTTCCACAATCACAGCATCCTCGTCCAAGGTGTCGGCGAGCGCTAACGCAGTCTCTGACTCCTGCCAAGAGTTCAAATCGTATGGTTGTTCGCCACCGAGCCAATCCGGTAGGGGTCGCCAGACGTCTAGAAGAAACGAAAACAGTTGGTTATTGAGACATTGAATAGTAAATGGGTGAGAATAGTACGATGCAGTACTTACTTGGCACAATGACGTCTTTATTATGACGCATAAGGTCCTCGAGTATGGTGAATGGTGCAGTCTCTACATCTACATCTCGCCAATAAACCCAAGAGTGATATGGTCTTAAAGCTGCACTGAGAAGCCAATTTCTGGCCTGCGCCATTAGCTTTCTTCGACTGGCTTGTGCTGCGAATCCATGTCGGCTTTCAACATCTTGGTTGACCTTCTGACCAAAATCTTTCTCAATAATGGACACTTCGCCATAAGGCTGTTTAGGATCGGGATCGGCCTGAATTCGTTCCAAATTGTCGGTAAGCACCTGCAATGTCCGATCTTTCGAGTCCGACACCAAGAAGGCAAGGTCGATCAAATGATGAGGGTACGTGAAATTTCGCAAATGGGAAAAAAACATTGCCAAATGCGCTTCTGCATCACGCAAAGGGACGCACAAGAGGATGCGTTCTTCGCGTTCCCAGCCCCGTGCAGTACCTTGGACATTGCTGAGGTCATAGTATCGGACGGTTTCGAGCTCGAGATCGTTCGTCGCAGACAACAAGCCTAGAGATACGACAGAGAGGATTGGGTTAGAGGGCCATAACCAAACACTAATGACAAGCAGTAGAAGCACTGCAAGGCCAGCTCGAATGAGGAATTTTCTCTGCCGTCGGTTCCCCGGTGTTGAAGTACGGGGTTGAAACCTGAAGGGTTGCATTAGATTGGGTGGCTCTATGATACTTGGGTAATAACCACGCAAGTACCTATGGGGAGATATGTCAAAGGTATTGCCTCTGGGATATCCGTTGGAAAACCCGCTTCCTTGATGCCGTGGCATCATTTTGTTGGCAGAGAGGAAGACATAAGATGACAGATATGTGGAAGAACAACCCGGATCCGCACTGCCTACTACAGGCCGCGCAGAAGAATGACGGAACCAAGGGGCGAAATTGTTCCCTGTGTCGAGTAGAAAAGGAGAATGGGAGAGAAGGAGGAAAGCGATCGTCTTGGGATATTGGTTGTGATGCAAGCGATGTAATCATGTAATTAGTATAGTTGCAACCGCAATTTTAAAAAGTGGAGGGTGGAGGAAAACATAGCTGCGTTTTCAAAGGGGACTGCTTGCGCATGGTCAATTACAGAGGGGCCAGTGTCTCGGGGCCAGGAGACCACCAGTAATAAGAAGTACCTCCGCCAGCCTATGAATGTGCCCAAACTGGGAGGCCTGCTGCCTGCTAGAGTACCAGTTGACCTAATAGGTACTCGTCAGGTACGTCACATCCGCCAAAGCGTGAACAGAGACTCGATGGCCCTCTTAAGTGGGTACATGCTCTGTGTGGAGTAAAGTACCTAGTAGTGAATAGCCAAACTAATTGCTCAGAGGCTTGAATGCCTCATTGGTGAGCCGTCACGCCTTCTGCATTATAATCATCGGCAGACGGGTGTAGGCTGAAATAGATTGAAACCATCGAAACATAATTGAAGCACTGGTTTCGAACCTCAACTACATCACTGGCCAGGGTTAAGCCAATACTTGGTAAAAACAGGCGTCACCAATGGATGCTTATATTGACCACTAGAGTGATCGAGTAGATACAGGTCGTTCTGGTTCGTGTACTTTGAGCCTCGGCAACACGGAGCCAACGAACCAAAAGTACACAGGATCTTGCAGTACGGAGTAACGAACAATGAACTACGGCTATAATTCTTTGGGTTGGCTGCTACAACCCGTACCAGGCGGGGGTAGACTTATGGTCCCTCTCATCCAACAGCCAGCCAGCCAGCCTGTGGGTTTACCCGTCAAATGGAGCTCATGTCACTTCGCCTACGTTTGGTTGCGCCACTAAAACCCCTGCCCGAAAACAGTGACATCAGCGATGAAAAGCCACTGCGAAGATCACGTCGAAAAGATTAGACTGTCATGTGAATATTGACGACTCACTTTGCTAACGCTGCAGCCTTGTGTACCGCAGCTCGACTCTGCAACGTGACTCGCTTCGTGGAATGACTACTGTAACATCCAGTTAGAAACCGCCATCCAACAGGATACTAATGATACACAGCAGCTCTTGGGAGGATCAGTCAGACATGCCAGTTTACTCAGTCATCTTCGCCGGCCCTTCCATACAGCGAACCAAAACGGGTCACGAGTAGGGAAAGGCACTGAAGTTAAATAATGTCGAATGACAACTCCACAACTTTCATAACGACCCAGACAGAGAAGCTCAAGTGCGGGAGAATAACTCGGCAAAGATGAGGTAGTTGAATGGATAGAACTTGTGTCATCATCTGCCCGTGCTACGCAGTCTAGAGGGAGAAAGAGAGAATGGGGCAAATGTACCTCTATCTTTCGGGCGGCACGGTGCGTCTCGTTGCGCGAAACGGTTTTGCGAAATTTTGGACCTAAACAAGCCTGAAGAAAACAGTGACGATGCACTGCCGCTTCATGCGCAAATTAGCCATGTTATGCAAAGATAGTATCAGTGAAGCACGCAGGGGTGAATTGCTGGTTGGTATCAGAGATCTTGGTATGGTATTTAGGAGTCATCACCTCAAGTCAGTAGCAGAACTGGATGAAAATGTGTCTCATCATGCAAGGAGGGTTTGGTTATGATTGTACTCTCATCAACTTACTCGGTGACATTACATCTCTAAGCTACTTATGTAGCAATTCTCGCCTTGGTGTATCTGCAGAATTTCGGTTAGTAAATCTTCGGGCAAGTACTTGCTGCACGCATTGTTTGGCAACACACTTCATCAGATGGTAGTGCATGCTTGTTCAATCGCTCAGGAGTCGCGAGAACAGTGGTGTGTGATATCTTCATATGGGTTGTACGTGAAGAATAAAAGCTTTGAACTGGAGGAATCGGTAGCAAATGACTCACCATTTTCCATGATCGATTGCAGGGCTACAGACACCATACTTTAGTGTCCAGTGAAAATGTTTGTCGGGGAAGAAAAAAAACAAAGGCCATTCTTGCGGGTCCTTAATAAAGAGTTGTGGAAATGGAGTTACCCTTAAAAGCCAAAACAAGTGGGGTCAGTCGCACCACTAATTTCATATCACTCCCCATTACTTGCATAACGATTGGGTGGTTTTTGCGCCCCTCGACAGAGCTCTTGTAAACGTAAATACACCTTGTCGAGCAATGTCTGATCGGCGACGAATTAACGGACCAGGAGGTCCGACTAACCCTCCTGTCTACGATGAGGATTCAATAATCAAGCCAGTTCGCACCAGGAACAATAATGATGTCCGACCATTTTGTAAGGCAGTCTCCGATCGCGTTCATCTGGTCACATCTAACTAATGTAACAGACCTGAAGACTGGTGTAACACCATCAGCATCTGGCTCAGCCTACTTGGAAATAGATCAAAGTACTGGGAGTGGCTTCGGCATGAAGTTTACCTGCACCGTACATGGACCTCGATCACTTCCTCGATCAGCACCATTCTCTCCGCATATGGTTATATCAACCCATGTCAAATATGCGCCTTTTGCTACACGACAGCGTAGAGGCTATCTCAGAGATGCCAGTGAGCGAGATCTGAGTATCCATTTAGAAACTGCCTTGCGCGGTGCTGTCATTGCGGATCGCTGGCCAAAAAGCGGTGTCGAGGTGGTTGTAACTATTGTCGAAGGTGACGTGACTCGCCAGACAACCATCGATGAAGGCCTTCAGGAGTGGAACACCATGTCCATACTCAGCGGATGCATCACTGTTGCTTCTGCCGCGATTGCCGATGCTGGAATCGATAGCGTTGATGTTGCTGCAGGGGGGGTTGCCGCACTTGTGCAAGACGAAGGCATTGGGAAAGAGCAAGAATTAGTCGTGGACCCTGCTGTCTCCGAGCACAAGACTATTTTAGCTGCCTGTTGTGTGGCGTATTTGCCAGCTCGAAACGAAATTACGAATCTTTGGTATAAGGGGTCTTTATGTGGCTCTCAGCTTGCGACATACCGGTCTTTGGTTGGCAGGGCAGTCCTTGCAAGTAAGGGAGCCGGAAAAGCAATATCGGTGTCTCTTAATGAAGCGGCTCTGTTAGCTTAAATTCAAGCTTCTTATTTGCGGCCACGCCCTCGATGACTGTTAGACCGCCGGCAAGTAGTACGAGAGCCGATTCTCGAAAATGGGAAACACTATACGCAGAATTACAAAAGGCGCTCCTCAGGTATGGAATGGGTAGATTGGCTGCGATGCATGTAGTTTGTTTGTTGCTATAAGCGGTTGCTGACGAGCTATGGCAAGGTAGCAGACATATAAAGATGTAGGCAGGACATGTACCTTCTGATACTCCGACATACATACTTTTTTCATGGCCGGCGATGACAGGCAGCCATAGTAGTCAATTCTCCAAGAATGAGGCGGGCGGCGTGGAACCTACGGGTCTTGTCGTCTGTGTCTATTGTCAGGTGCTGGCTGACAATCCCATCTGTTGGCGCACATATTGCTGACACAGCAGCAACAAGGGGTGGTAGGGCCCTTTTGCCGCCTTTAGCATAAGTTGTAACTTTTACTACACATCAAACGGGAGATTAGACCTCGGCCAAAACTGAGATAAGGAGCTGTTCATGGCGCATCTCACGGATTGAACAGTGGTATGCTGCGTACCCAGGTATCTTCATCATTTGACACCGTATACGTGTTTGAGGCAGCCAACGCCTGCATTATTTCATTCTACCTACTAGGTTGTTTATTTATATTTTATCCATGTCATGCGCTCTCCCATCAAATAGGAAGTAAAATACCCTGATGTCACCGAGCAAGACCCTGGGATAGGCAAAGCGAGGAAAGCTAGAGCCTGTGATTCATCCCTTTTAGGGGCCTTTCGGGGACATTACCGGGGGCTGCCTGCAGCGGGCTTATACTATCAAATTCGAGCCCACTGAAGCTGTTGATTCGAGCCTTTGAAGCTGCTTGTTGAATTCGAGCTCGTTGAAACCGCTATCCCCTCTGGTGTGTTAAGGCTCCAGTGGGGTTACGACCCCCACAATGCCCATGCTGATAGCGGGTGACCGTAAGGCGACCCATCAAGCCTGCTAGGACTGTATGGAGTTAAATGTAGTAACTTGTAAGACACTAATTTTTTAAGTACACTTATTATCACAAAATTTCCTAGTAAGTAAATGTATCTTTCTAAATTTAGCTTCTTATTAGATATATATCCCTGCAGATACTCGATTGGAGCCTTAAGTTCCAGAGCATTAACAAGAAAACTACATTTTTAATTTTTCAAAAAGCTTAAATAATTAATAATAAATCTAATAAAATACTTAAATTATACATAAGTATTTTATTATATTTAATATTATTTATTATATTTAAAACTATAAAAACTATAAAAACTATAAAACTATAAAACTATAAAACTACACTACAATTAATGCTCTAGCTGTATTACTATATACAGCTAGTTTAATACGTACTAGACCCTTTTAGCCTAATAGTTAACGGGTTAAGCGCTACCTAGATATTTATATTAACACTTATAAATTATAATAGCCTATTAGCTTAGACTATTACAGTTAAAAGTACCTTATAACGTAATAAAATCTCTTATTAATAAAGGTTATTATTATAAAAGCTATTACTCTCTTATTATTTAACTTATATTATAATTAATAGCTATTAATATAAATAAAAAGAGCTTTTATTAGTAAAAAAGTTCCTATAAATAAGCGCTATTAACTTTCTTATTAGGTTACTTATAACTAAACTTATAGGGGTTAAATTATAAGCTATATAAGCTTTACGTAATCAATTAAAGCTAAGCTTTAATTTTGTAAAGGCTTATAACCAGAGCATTAACAAGAAAACTACATTTTCAATTTTCAAAAAAGCTTAAATAATTAATAATAAATCTAATAAAATACTTGAATTATAATAATAAATACATAAATTAGCGCTTATAAGAGTATATAAGGACCCACTTTTTTATTATAAGCTTATAATTTTAGATTTATACTACTTATTCGTAAAACTTATAATTCTATAAGTATTTTATTAGATTTAATATAATTTTTTATATTTAAAACTACAAAAACTATAAAACTATAAAACTACACTACAGTTAATGCTCTGCTTATAACTAGCCTAATTATAACCTTTAGAAAGTCTTAAATATACGTGTATTTATTATTAGTTTACTAGAATTACCTTAATAAAGAACATTTAAATAAACTAAGAGTGGTAATAGTAGCCGTAGTACTGTCTACCTATTAGAGCATTAATGTTATGGACTGGCCATACTATACTACTGTAAGTATGCGTCTTTAGAAAGTAAGAATAAACTTAAGAAGAAAGAGAAAGAGAAAGAGAAAGAAAGGTTTCCCCCTTCTTACCCCCCTTTATATCCCTACCTAGCCCGTAGATTATCCGGGTTAGGTCTGAGCTGCCTCCGCATCGGGTCCGGCCTAGGCCCGTGCAGCCAGCTCGAGCCCATAACATGGAGCT